TAGGGACACTTTGTACCCTTTGAAAATGATTTTAAATTGTAGCTTTAGTAGTCCTGCCACGATTTCTTCACTGAAACAAAATGAAACAAAAATATTAAATCTTTGCAAGTCACTTATTATAGACGCTGTAATATGTCCATATTATTTTTTTTGTAAATTTTCTTATATGTTTTTTCTGTGTAAGCAAAACTACTTCTTTTCCTTCGCAAAGCTCGTAAAGTTAATGAAATAACACAGCCAAAATCTAACAAAAAATACGACTGAATATAAAATAAACAATTACAATTAATTATTATAAAAATCAAGTATGCCCAGTTTATTGTTTATTATTAAAAAATATAATAATGTGCAGGTAGCATACTTTTTATTAGACATTAATACATATAATTTGTTGGACGCATCGATACATATACATATAAGACCTATATTAAATTATTATCAGTATTTTTATACATATTTTATTTATATATAATGGTATACAATTCGGAAACAGACATAAACATTTTCTATGGACATAAACATACATATATAACATTTATTTTAACAATTTTTGATTAATATGGCTAAGCCAAATACCGTATGATCGAAAAAAAAGAGCGTCCAGTTGGCTGGGAAATTACGATCCATGATATTTCCCATATAAATTTACATATAAAATGACAGCAATCTTCATTTCGCAGCCATCGCTGACGCCGTTTTTTCTCGATAATACGGTATATCAAGGAGGAAAAATAACAAAAATTCAACAAATCTCAGCAAAATAATTTGGTAAACTGGTTAAAATTCTTTATTTTGTAAAATATTGAAAATACAAGATTAAAAAAAAGAATTTTAAGCTTGTAAATGTGTAAAATATTGTGCCTCAATTTTAATAGATTTGCAATACAAACATAACAAAGATTTTATAGTACAATTTTAAAAATAAAAAACATATTTTTCCATAAATTTAACATGTATTTTCCTCCTCTGTTATACTTTTGTTGTTTCTGAAAGGTCTGTACAAAATTCTACTGTCACGGTAGGATAAACTATACGAAACGTCAAAATATATTCAAATTGATTTGAGGAAGTGTCAAAAACTATTAGATTTTAGTATAAATTTGATTAGATAAATTTATAGCAATTTTGTACTGGGTGTCCCACTAAGAATAGCTCTCGGCTGTATCTCGGAAAGTATTAGTCGTAGATCTTGCGGAAAAAAATATTTATAACTAATGAGACCATGACAAATTGCTTGAAATTATTTTCAAGTTTGTAGGACGGCCGCTAGAGCGTAACTGCTATGGAAAATAACAAAATGGAATTTTTAAGAAATTTCGCCTAGACACGATGTACTATAAATAATAGCTTCATAATCTTCAGTAAATTTTGGATCTTTTTTGTTAGAACCATTTTCCCCTATCTGCTAAAATAAAGTGGTGGGGGGGGGGGAGAGGTTAGATCTGTTTTTATTTAAATATTAATAACTCCGGACTGGATGATCAGAATCCAACAAGCGAGGGCTCGTTTAAAAGAGCGTTTCTTACTCTATATTATAGCATATAAACAATAATAATAAGTTTTTGAACGTAGACACTAGGGGGCGTTGTCTTACAATTTAACAAACATTGTGCGTTTTTTCAAAAAAATTAAATGCGATAGTGTATGTAATTTTAGCTGATAGTAAATAGTAATAAAAGCTTAACAAGTCAGCAAAAACCGCATCTTGATATCTTTTTTCAAACCAAAGTTATTCGCAAAATTATAATAAATACCAAAATATAAGCCCTTAATTACCTTATTTTTCTAACACGGTATCACTAGCCCTCTTGATTATGACCACTCTAATAAAAAATAATATAAAAAAGGTTATTTTATTCAAAATATCGACAATGAACCAGAAAACCATAATACTCGGTGTATTAATATCTAATAATTAAGATACCAATGACGGTGGACAAGAAACGACACCTCAGTGAATTCATGGTAGGCTTTGGAAAAAAGTTGCTTTTAAACGGATAGTTTAAACGTCAAAATATTATTATATCAACATTTTGATAGTCTCAGCAGCCTTTTTTTATCTTTTGATTGCATTTCTCTAAAAATGCCTTTCTTCAACAGAAAAAAAAACGCTGCTAAGACTATCAAAATGTTGATCTAATAACACTTTGACGTTTATACTATTACGTCAAAAGCAAGTCTTTTCCAAAGCCTACCATGACTTCACTAACGCGTCTTATTAACTGTCATTGATATCTTAATTATTAGATATTAATAGATCTGGTATTATGATATTCTGGTATATTGTCGATTTTAGAATAATCTAATCATTTCTATCTTATTTTTTGTCATAATCAAGAGGGCTAGTAATACCGCGTTAGAAAAATAAGGTAATTAAGGGCTTCTATTTTCGAATTTATTATAATTTTGCTAACAACTTTGGGTTGAAAAAAGATATCAAGATGCGGTTTTCGCTGACTTGTTAAGCTTTTATTACTCTTTACTATCAGTTAAAATTACATATACTATCGCATTTATTTTTTTTGAAAAAAACGCGCAATGTTTATTAAATTGTAAGACAACGCCCCCTAGCGTCTACGTTCAGACGCTTATTATTATTGTTTATATAGTACAATATAGAGTAAGAAACGCTCTTTTAAACGAGCCCTCGCTTGTTAGATTGCGATCATCCAGTCCGGAGTTATTAAAATTTAAATAAAAACAGATCTAACCTCCCCCCACCACTTTATTTTGGTAGATAGGGAAAAATGGTTTTAACAAAAAATATTCAAAATTTACTGAACATTATGAAGCTATTACTTGTAGTACACCTTATCTAGGCAAAATTGTGTAAAAACTCCATTTACTTATTTTTTGTTGCAGTTGCGCCCCCTAGCGGTTGTTCTACAAACTTGAAAATAATTTCCAGCAATTTCTCATAGCCTCTTTAGTTACAAATATTTTTTTCCGCAGGCCCTATGGCTAATACTTTCTTAGTGGGACATCCGGTACAAATCTTACAGAAAAATCAAGAAAATTTGAATTAATACCAGAATAACATTTTTCGTAAATTATACAATAATTATTAACAACGGATTTTCTCTTTCTGCTTTAACAAAAAAAAAATGATATTTACACTGACTTCTAAATACATTTTTCCTAAAGGTACGAAACGATAAACTACAGTTAGGTATAACATAAATAGCACACATTTAATATCATTACCAACGAACCTTCTAATAACATGCTTGAAATTTAACACTTTTTTCAGGAATAACACATATCGACACATTTATCTGAAATCACGTAAAAGCGTGCGTTAAAATAATCAAATTAGAGATAATACACACCGCTATATTATAGCATGCGATCGAAAAAAAAAACGGCGTCAAAGACGGCATTGACAATCGATGATAATTTTGGCGAGGTCGAGCACTAGACGTCATTACTTAGCACTTACTCTTCTTTATTTTTTAATGGCGCTTACTACCAGATGGTCTTATAAAATTTTGGAAATTTGTAATATGATTTATACCAATTTAGAATGACCAATAGAGAATGACCTCGTCAAAATTATCATTGATCCGTTTTTTTTTCGATCATACTGTATTAATATGTGACATTCGTGTTAATTTTAGCAGTATTTCACATTTTAGAAATTTGATTTCTTACCGTAAAATGTATAGATAATGCATGACACTCAATGCGATCTGCAAGAGTGTATACATCTTTAATTTGATTCACACTGTACCATTTCAATTTCTTGCAATATAAACTCACCGGCAAAAAAATCGGCCTCTAAAAACTAGACCCAATTTCAAAGTTGGATTTCTCGCGAACCACTCAATGGATTTTGATGATTTTTTGTTAAATTGTAAATTAATTTCTTCTTAACGGATTCTACGTCAGAAATTTTTATTACGAATTTATTTTGAGCATATACAGGGTACAGCAATAAGACGAAATTTTTTGCCCGAACGTTGTAACACCTTATAGGGTGCAGCAGCGAAAGTAGCTATTGCTAAATTAAATCACATTTTAGCCTCATCTTTTGTGAGCATTTCGTTTTTTTAATCACCACATTATCTCTTTTTGTATTAGAGATATGCTGTTTTAAAACGAATGTCTCGGAAAAATGCTTCGCAGGCAGAAAGTTTTATGTGTAAATAATCAAGGCGACATAGGCGAAAACGGATTTATGAGTATTTGCAATATGACAACAACGGTTGTCAAATTAAAAAATACCATTATCTGTAACGGTGGTTGCTCGTATAGAGGCTTTAATTGAGGATGGCCGAAGTCAACGTTATGTCTCCGATACCCTAGGTATATTTCGGACAACAGTCCAGGATGAACCAAATTTCACCAGGCGAGTGGACACTAGATATTAGTCCCTTAACATTTCTTTACCTTTTTTTAATTTTCATGTTTTTAATTTTCATGTGTTTCAAGGCGTTTGTTTTAAATCAGTGTATTTCCAATACAAACAGAGATAATGTCGTGATTAGAAAAACAAAATGCTCACAAAAGATGAGGCTACAATGTGATTTGAATTAGCAATAGAGCTGCTGCACCCTACAGGGTGTTACCAAGTTCGGGCAAAAAACTTTGTCTTATTGTTGTGCCGTGTATATGCTCAAAATAAATTCGGAATAAAAATTGCTGACGTAGCATCCGCTAAGAAGGAATTAATTTACAATTTAACAAAAAATTATCAAAATCCATTGAGTGGTTCGCGAGAAATCCAACTTTGAAATTGGGACTAGTTTTTAGTGGCCGTTTTTTTTTTGCCGGTGAGTGTATTATATGGATATCTGGAATTGTGAGATGAAACCGCGGTTTAAGTTTACAGATGTAGTATAAATTACCTTGGATTATCGTTATTATAACAAACACTAAATAATCAAAACATATGTTTTTAAGTAAAAAATAACGTTTTTTGTTAATTTTCTTCTCTGTCTTCTTTCTTTTGTTAATTTCTTTTTCTTTTCTTTTATTCTTACTCTTTGTTGTTGTTGGTGTTTTAATTTTTTATTTTTATGATTTTTCCGTCATTTTTACCTTAGAAGATATATTTTGATTAATAAGTGTTTGTTTTTTGGTAACCCGAATTATTTAATATTACAGTGAAGCCGCCGCAAAGATAATGTTGACAGCGGTTTAAGTCTACAGATGTTGGTGGTCGGGTTTGGCAATTTCCGTCAATTCGTGCACTTCCGCGTTCAGTCGATCCTGCGCCGTCACGGTTGCCGGCTTTCCTGACAATTCTCCCACGCTGAGCAGGTCCACCAATCGCGCTCCTAAGCAGTCGCACATGACGTTGATCGTTGTACGGAATCGATCACTGAAAGATTAATAATTATACTAACTAGAATAATAATAGTACTTAACAAACAACACATTATGAGGAGTCAACAATATATAATCACGATATAATTTTATCTATGTCATGTATGCTTATAGAATATACAGGGTGTTTCAAAAAACATGTGCCATCTCTCTTGGGGAGATTCGTCACGCAAAAATAAGATTTATTTTTTATATCAACATAGGTCCCGATTCTACTTTGTTTCGCAGCTACAGGATGTTAAATTCTTAATAATCTTTCGATTTATTATAATTTTCTTCCAAGTATGTACGTTCAGTGATTCGAATGAAATTTTGAGGGTAAAAGTTACTATAAGTGCATGCTACATATTTTATTGCTATAACAGTGTCGATATGCATCAGGGACGTGCATATGAGTTTGCATATTTTTCAAAAAAAAACATGTGTGCCACTGACTTTTTTCTTTTGATATCAAAATTGTGTAGGCCGTTTAATTCCAATTCAACGTTATCTCTTTATATTTTGTCGAACGGCCTCCTTGATGAGATAAACGCCATTTTATTAATCACAATTAATAAAATTAAAATAAAAATAAAATTAATAAGTTATATATTTTACCTAATTTATTATTAAATATTGTAACTATTAGTTATTACTACTATTAGTCCAACCTACAGCAATTTCAAATAAAAAAAAATAATGGTATTTAAAGTAATTACAAAAAAAACTTATTTAAAAAAGTTTTAACATCCTATAACTCTAAAACAATGAATATGCCGACACTTTTAGCTTTAAAATATGTCGCATTTATAGTAACTTTTATCCTCAAATTTTCATTCAAAACCCTAAAAATACTTGGAAGAAAATTATAATAAATCGAAAAAATAATAAGACCAAACCAAACCAAACCAAACCAAACACCCTGTAGCTACGAAAAAAAGCAGAATCGGATCTATTTAATTATCATATTTTTAGGTGAGGAATCACCCCAAAAGAGAGGCACATGTTTTTCGAAACACCCTGTATAATAAATATGCTTTTAAAGGCTAATACGTAATTTCATACTAGAACCAATTTAATCCTATAAACTTTGGTAGAACGCTTAAGTGATTGATATCTCGAATCTAATGCCGGGTCCAGACCAAGCAGACAAAACAGCGACAAGACAGAAACATTCAAGTTTTACAACAAAGTTGTGACAAATCCAATACATTGATGCGACATTTTTGTCTCATTTTTGTTTTGTTTCAAAATTCGGACACTCTTCAATGTCCCGTCTCGAGTCGGTAAAGATCAAAGTGTCTATGTTTTGTTCATATATTTTCCGACAAGTGGCCGGCGCAGTGTGGATGGCGTGTGCTGACAACGGTAGGAAACCAGTGAAATCACACATGGTTGCGATTCATTCGCAACAACTCAACGCAACAACTAAACTTTTGACTTTGTTGCACTTTTGTACTTGCGGTGTGGACAATTTGTCTCAAGTTTGTCTTGTTTTTCTCTCAAAATCGTGTTTACTTTTAGTCGCCTTGGTCTGGAGCCGGCATAAGAACATGAAATGGAACATAAATGGAACATAAATGGAACATAAACATCATATATGAATTTACTTGTTTTGGACCAGAAAGACTGTGATAAAAATAAGAACAAAAATGTCATCACCAGAGAAGTTTAGAGCAAACGATGGATACGGACCTGCATTCTAGTCCTTTGTCTAGAGTTTCTTTTAATTTTCAATAAATTAATCTTAAGATCAATAGTGAATCATAACTGTGAACTTTAATAAATTTACTTTTTATAAATGGCTTTATAAAATATATACAATAGCTCTAAAAGCCTAAAAAGCACATAGCTTGATTTGTTATCTTTCTCCATTTCTGTCTTTTGCCTTTATTCTCCACCCGTCCACTCTTATCCTTCTCAAGTCCTCTTCAACATCCTTTTTCCATCTGGTTCTCGGTCTACCCCTCCTTCTCTTTCCACCTATTTCACGTTTCATTATCATACTAGGAATTCTTGCTTCAGCCATTCTTTTAATGTGTCCCAGTCATCTCAGTCTTTGTGCTCTTGCTCTTCATTTGTTCCTCTGGTCCATACGTTGCAGATCTTCTTTCCTCCAAAAATCTTCCTCGGTATTTTTCGTTCCCAAATCTCTAACCTCGAACTTTCTGTTGCATTGAACGTCCACGTTTCACATGCATACAGTATCATTGTTTGGTGGGTACAATCTGATTTTTAAAATTCTAGAGTGTTCTTACTCTTAATAATTTTCTGTAGTGCGCTAACGCATATATTTTCTGCCATTATTCTTGCCACAATTTCCTGAGTTACATTTGGGTTCCTTAGAAATACGGTTCCTAGGTATGCGAATGTAAATTTTTTGAAAGAAAAGTTTGACTTGACCGAACTTTCTGATTTAGTAACAGTTGGGACAGATGGAACTGTTATGAATACGGGAGTGAAAAATGGCGTTATTCGTTTGTTGGAAAAAGAATTAAAACGTCCTTTACAATGGTTAATTTGTTTATTCCATTTAAATGAACTTCCTTTGCGACATTTAGTAAAAGAACTAGATGATGAAACTTCGGGTCCCGGTGGACTCAAAGGTGTTATTGGACAGAAAGTAGATAACTGTGAAACCCTAGCTGTTGTAAAATTCAGAAGAATTGAAACTGTCTAATAACACAGAATTGAAACTGTCTAATAAAACACGCCTAATAACGACATTTAACCTTATTTATTTATTTATCGTATGGCTCATATACATGCAAGAAAACCAGACACTTAAACATAGACATAAAATGAACTACAATGTAAATGAAAACATTACAATGTAAATATAAAAAAAAAAACAAGTATAATATAAAAAGACAACATAAAAAACGTATTTACGAACACTATATATTGACATCTAGATGCCCTATCCATTCCAAAGCTGATGGAGAAGTCTCCAGAAAGTCCCTCCAGTCTTCACCATAAGCGCGTAGGTTGCACTCTCTGGTTATGTGATGAATGGTTTGGTGAGGGGATCCGCAATCACATTCTGGGGAAGGTATTTTTCCCCACTTATAAAGGGAATCCGCACATCTTCCATGGCCAGAGCGTATCCTATTCAAAGTTGACCATGTTTTCCGGTTTAGATCGGTACCCGCTGTCTGGCAATAGTTATGTTTGAACCAGGAATATAGGTGCGCATCGGCCATTTCTCTCCATAACTGAAGCCACTGTTCTCGAGAATTGTAGTTACTGCGTTTTAGTTGTTCAGCTGTTCGCAAATGTGGATTCCTCGACTTAAGTCTATTCACCTGTAAAGCAGGAAGTGTTTTATGGACAGGTAGCGTTGGGGTAGCTATTATTTTATCAAATTCTCTAAGAAGAGCCTCGTTTCTGCGTAGATTTGGAGGTAGGATGTTACTCAGAACTGGAAGCCAGTAACTAGGGGTGCATCTGATTGTCCCTGTAATCAGCCGCATGGTGTTGTTCAGCTGTCTGTCTACGAGATTTGTGTGGTGGCTATTCAACCACAGGGGTGCACAATACTCTGCCACACTGAATACCAGACCAAGGGCGGAGATCCGAAGTATTGTTGCTTTTGCACCCCACGAAGTACCACAAAGTTTTTGTATAATGTTGTTTCGTGTTCTGATTTTCCCAGCAACATTTTCTAGGTGTTTTCTTCGAAATGAGAGTGTACGGTCTAGAGTAATCCCCAGATATTTTGGATATTTGTTATTACTCAGAGTGGTGCTACCAAACTGGACGCTTATTTCAGTATTCGCCAGCTTGTTATTAAGATGGAAGGTAGCCACTTCTGTCTTATTTGCATTGGGTTGAAGTCTCCATTTTATAAAATAGGCATTCAAGGATGCGAGATCCTTTGTAAGCGTTTCTTGGGTTTGATATAGCGATTCATATTCCGTTGCTATGGCTATATCGTCTCGTAAAACAAAATTTTCTAGATTGCGTATCTGGTAGGTCAGAGATGTATAAGTTGAATACGAGAGGGGCGAGAACGGAGCCTTGGGGTAAGCCGTTGTTAAGTTTTTTAGGTTTACTTGTGCTCTCTCCCTGAAATACTTGGATATATCGGTTACTTAGCATGTTGTTGATAACTCGAGCTATAGTTTGACAAGGAAGTGCTTTAAGTAATTTATAAACCATACCATCTCTCCAGACTGTGTCGTAAGCGGCTGTTAAATCGACAAAAGCTATGGAGGTTTTAAGCTTAAGTTGGAAATTTCCTTCAATGTGAGATGTAAGTGCTAGGACTAGGACTGCCTGTTCAACTGGAATATGGTCTAAGATACTATCCTTTATTCTATTGAAAATAAGTCGTTCTAGGAGCTTATAGGTACAACTAAGAAGGGCTATGGGTCGATAATTCTGAGGTTGATCTTTAGATTTTCCTGGTTTTAACACAGCTATTATTTTAGTTTTCTTTAATTCCTTTGGAATGTTGCCGGTTGATAAAATTCTCCAGAAGAAACTACAAAGCCACTTGAGGGCAGGGTTTCCAGCGTAAATAAGGAATTCTGAATGAATGTTGTCATATCCAGGAGCTTTGTTCGGTTTGATGTCTTTAATAGCTATGACTATGTCTTCAATTTCGAAGGGCTGTGAATATTCCGAGATATGGGGAGTGGTTGTTCTTAACTCCTTCAATTTCCTCTTAATCTCAATTGTGTGCTCCTTATCACGTCGAGACCTAGATGTCTCTAGATAAACTACCATCCGCGGCCTGTGACAAAACTGGAGTTTCAGATCACGCTGCCGCTATAATCGCAAATGCTCTTTTAGAGAATATTGGAGTAGTGTCTAAAAGCAGTTCTACACAGATAGTAGATAGAATGAAGATCAGGACGGCCAGAGTGTCTCAACGTAACGTTTGTACTAGTGTATTAGGTGAAATGTTGTTATTAGGCGTGTTTTTTGATGGTCGAAAGGACTACTATTATTTACGATAAGAATAAAAGGAAGAGAAAACGCGTTGTGAAAGAACATATTATTTCTATTTTGTCACAGGCAAGTGCCACGGATAGTACTTTATCATGCTGGTGGACAAGTTTCAAATATATTGAGGAACCGGAAAACAATAATTTAAGTGATTTAGTTTGGATAACATTATTGGGTTATATTTTATAGTCATGTTAAGCAGTGTGTTAAAGGTAAAAGATAAATAATTATCAAATATGTTGACGGGCAAAAAATGAAATATTTTTCAAAATATCTTAGCTTTTATGGCCCGTGAGGAACCTGAAGATACAAAGGTAGGGCGCTCAGATTTTGAGAAAAAAAAATTGGCGCCGGGAGGCACGCATAGCCGCCCATACTAAAATATGTTAATATCTCGAAAACTGCAACTTTGACTGATTTTGATGTTATTACAAATTTTGTTGCAAATATTATTCCTAATCTTAAATTGAAAACCGCGTTTCGCTAGTTACTGTAATTTTGGAGATACGATTTTTTTAAATTTTTAACCCCCTCCTATACCCCCTTGCCAACCCCCACCCCCACCAAAAACTAATGGCCAGATTCTCGGGTGCCACAGTATTTTTGTGCCAAATTTGGTTAAAATCGGTTCAGCGGTTTTTGAGCCTACTATACCTATTGGTATGGTCGGCTAAAAATGTTTATCTAAAGGCACATTTTGAGGCTTGTGTGAAAATATTTTGGAAAAATTTTTTTTTCGTTCCACCCTACTGACCGCTCCATAAACTTCGCATCTTTTATAACTTTCTACACTAAACTAAACAAAAAAACTACATTAATACTTACAGCAGCCAGTCCACCGCCACAATGTTAATCACCGCGTCCGCAGGCAGGCCCACCGTGTCCAGCACCATCACCATGGTGACGAGGCCGGCCTGGGGAATCCCCGCGGCCCCTATGCTCGCCGCCGTCGCCGTCAAACTGAAATCGAAAGGGGTGAGGGGGGTTGATTAGTGTTCGACTCGATCGAGTGGGAGTGGGAATGAAAGGGGTTAGTTAGGCGGTTGATGGGATGAATTGACGTTAATTATCGGGATCTCGCTTACCTGAATGGGGTAGGTGATGAATTTACTTGTTTTGGGATATTTTTTTGGATGAATTATTTTGATTAGATATTATATTAAATAATAAAAACTTAATGAATGTACCTTCAACTTAATAATAGCAACATTGTAGTAGGTGTAAATGTAGTTAAGAGTTCTTCTTAATGTAATACTGAAGTCGTGGTAGTGTTAATTTATACACACATCGGCACAAAAAACGGGCACCTTAAAATTTTGATGTATTTTCAAGTTTAATATATTTTGTTCTAGTGAGCCGATTTTGAAGATTTTTTTAACCAATTTGTAGCTAATTTATTTGACTTTTAGTATCTCTTTCTAAATTAAAAATAAAAGTTGCCATCTGTCAATTATAAGAGGGCAGGGGTGGATGGGAAAGTAGAAACCGGCCCGAGAATAACAGGCAACCGGCCCAAATCCACAAAAACAAAATGGCCATAACGACGAAACATATTTTATTTATTAATATATGTATAAGTAACGGAGTGTTTCGCTCGTGCGACAAAAGCTCTTTTGACTCCGGTTTTTTTAAACAATTCTTGATCAAAATTTTCATAAAGATCAATATTGGGTCGCACATCTGAATTTTTACCACAAAATGGCTCAGTTTTACAGGGTTCTACTGCTTTATTTCCATTATCGATAACAGTAATTTGATCTTGAATAGGCTACGATTTTAAGTCACGATTTTGAGAAACTTTAAGACTTCCCGATTCAGTTCAGCTGTCCGAATCCTCTGTGAAATACATTATTTTTAGCTTTTCAGGTATACTTTCCTGTATAGACATTGTAGAAAGAAATTCTCTCTTTTCTGGTACAGCAGCAGCCTCGTCGTGTATACGTGTTTTTAACTGAATGAATCGCGGTCGCCATTAAAACTGCTGCATTTTTAGTTATTATATAGTTCTTATCACTTTTCCTCTGTACTTTTCTACATTTGGCATCTTGCATGATAATGCCATGTCTCAAACGAGAAAAGAAGCTTGCCATAATGTTATCTGTGATTGAACAATAGTAGTTTAAGTCATACTACATGGCGCAGTCGTAGTGGGTAAAAAGTGGAATAATACCAAACAATACAAATTGGCGTGGATTGAAGTTAAAAGTAAATAAAAGTACATGTGGATACATAACCTTTAAGTGGTAAAAAACGGAAAACGAAAAAAAATTGCCCGCCAAATTATTAGAGTCCTTTTGTGGTGAAACAAATAAAGAAAAGTTCAAGAGGAAAAATGGATGTTAGATTACCAGAACCACTTTCCTTTGATGGAAATTTAGCGGAAAATTTTCGAAGATTTAAGCAAAGTTTTGAAATTTATCTAATAGCCAGTGGGAAAAGTGAAAAAGATGACAAGATGAAGATTGCTTTGTTACTAAATCTGATGGGTGAAGAAGGGATAGAAGTCTACAACACATTAAAACTAACAGAGTTACAAAGAGCTAATTTTCAAACAGTACTAAATGAATTGGAGAATTATATGACCCCGAAAAAGAACGTAGTGTATGAAAGGTTTCTATTTTACTCAAGGAAACAAGAAGATGAAGAAACATTCGACCATTTCTATACTGAATTGAAAAAGTTATCAAAAAACTGTGAGTTTGAGCAGTCGACTGATTCAATGATCAGAGATAGGATTGTCTTGGGTATCAAGTCGAGGCAAGTCCAAGAAAAACTACTTAACGTAGACAAGTTAGATCTCAATAAGGCCATTGAGCTCTGTCGAGCATGTGAAATCGCAAAATCCCAAATAAAAAGTGTACAAGGTGCTGAAGCTAAAGTTGAAGTTGTTAAAAACAAAGCGAAGACAGTACAAAGGCATGGCAATACTGAAGAAAAAACATTAATAAGCTGTAAAAGCTGCGGAAAGAAACATGAAAAAAGAAGATGCCCAGCATTTGGCAGAAAGTGCAACAAATGTAGGCGCTATGGACATTTTGAGAAGATGTGTAGAAGCACAATGATGGTGAAGGAGCTACAAGAAAGTAAAGAAGAAGAAGAAGATGAAGAACTCTTAGTATCTGTTGTGACAGTGAGTGAAGTGAAAAGTGAATCGGAGTGGATAGAGACATTAGAATTTGGTAAGCAAAATATTAGATTTAAGGTAGACACAGGGTCTCAGGTTAATTTGATTCCACAACATATACTTAAAAGTATTAAAAATCAAGATATTGCATGGCAAAAAACAAAATTGGTACTTGAAACCTATGGAGGTTTTAAAATAACGCCTATAGGTGTAGTAAAATTAAAATGTAAATTTAGAGATAAGGATTACACAATACAATTTGTTGTTGTAAAAGATAAATCTATGCCTATTTTAAGTCTACAGTCGTCCATGACAATGAATATTTTAAAGAAAATTAATGAAGTTAATTTAGGGTTAGATAAGAACAGTTTTATTAATAATAACAAAGATTTATTTATAGGAATAGGGAAATTTAAAGAACAATGTAAATTAAAAGTAAAAAACAATGCCAGTCCTGTGGCTAAGCCACCCAGAAGGGTTCCTTTATCAATAAAAGACAGGTTGAAAAAACACCTGGATGCTTTAGTTAACAAAGGCATTATTGCTAAACACCAAGGACCGACTGAATGGCTTAGTAACCTAGTTATTATTGAAAAAAGTGACAAAACATTAAGGGTATGTTTAGATCCCAAGAATCTTAACGAAGTATTAGAAAGAGAATATTTTGAGATACCAACCTTAGAAGAAATATGTGTTAAACTTAAAAATAAAAGCTACTTTACTGTACTAGATTTTAAAGATGGGTTTTATCAGGTAGAGTTAGATTTAGAGTCAAGTAAACTGTGTGCTTTTGGAACACCCTTTGGAGTGTATAGATTTCTTCGTCTACCATTTGGGTTAAATTGTGCCCCAGAATATTTTCAAAAATTAAATCAAGAACACTTTGGTGATATTCCGGGAGTGATAGTTTACTTTGACGATATTCTTATAGCGGCTGATACGTCAGAAGAACATGATAAGATATTAACTAGAGTGTTAGAAAGAGCAAAGAAATATAATGTCAAATTTAACAGCTCTAAAATTCAGTATAAAGTAAGAGAGGTAAATTATTTAGGAAATATTTTTGACAGGGAGGGTATGAGGCCTGATAAAAATAAAATTAAAGCAATACAAAATTTGGAACAACCAAATAATAAGAAAGAATTACAAAAACTTCTGGGAATGATTAATTATTTAAGAAGGTATATACCCAACCTGTCAGAGATATCTGCACCACTGCGAATATTATTAAAAAATAACACTGACTGGATATGGACTGATAATCAAACAAAGTGTTTACAAATGTTAAAAAATATTGTTAGTTCAGCTCCAGTATTAGCTAATTTCGATGTAAACAAAGAAATAACAATACAAACAGACTCAAGTCAAAGCGGTGTAGGGTGCGTGTTGTTGCAGGAAAATAGGCCTGTTGCTTTTGGATCACGTGCTCTTACAGATAGTGAAACTCGTTTTAGTCAAATTGAAAAAGAAATGAATGCTATACTATATTCATGCCAGAAATATCACAGTTATATTTACGGTAGGAAGGTTAAAATACTAACTGATCACAAACCCTTAGTATCAATAATGAAAAAAGGTGTTGCAGATGTAAGTTCTCCAAGATTACAAAGAATTAAAGTAAAATTGTTGAAATATGACATTGACGTTCAGTATTTACCAGGAAAAGATATGCTTATAGCAGATCTTCTCTCAAGAAATTATATTAAAGACGATATAGGTAGTGATAATACATTTTTGACAGAAATTGTTCACTCAGTAAATGTAACTGATGATAAATTAAAGGTATTTCAAAGTGAAACGAGTAAAGATTTTGAACTAAAATTATTAAAGGAAATTTGTTTAAAAGGTTGGCCTAAAACAATAACTAAAACACCAAGTCCTATAAGAAAATATTACAACTATAAAACTGACATATATACTTCTAATGATATTATGTTTCTAGGAGATAGAATAATTGTTCCAGAGACTTTAAGGACAGATATGCTTACACAACTTCACGCAAATCATTATGGTATCACTAAGACACAAAAAAGGGCTAAATCTTTATTGTATTGGCCAGGAATAAATGAAGATATTAAGGAATTTATAAAGAAATGTAAGAAATGTGAAGTATATCAAAAGAGTAACATAAAAGAGCCCATGATTTTGAGAAAAATACCTGATTTGCCATTTCAAAAACTAGCAAGTGACATTTTAGAGTGGGGAGGTCAGTCATATATAGTAATTATTGATTATTATTCAAAGTGGATTGAATTAATTTGTTTACAATCAAAAACGTCTAAATCAGTCATTGATGTATTTAAACAAGTTTTTAGCACACATGGAATACCATTAGAAGTGGTATCAGATAACATGCCATTTAATTCATACGAATGTAAAAAATTTGCAAAAGAATGGGGATTTAAATTCTTGACATCGAGTCCAAGATACCCCAAATCAAACGGCCTTGCAGAACGAGCCGTGCAAATTGCTAAGAATATGCTGAGAAAGTGTACTGATATTAGCAATGCTTTATTGGAATATAGAATGACACCTATTTCCGCCTCAGAAAAGTCACCAGCAGAATTATTGTTTAACAGAAAACTACAAACTAAATTGCCGATTAAGACAGAATTATTAATACCTAGCAAAATAAATTATGAAAAGGAAAAAGAAAAGCTAGAACAAAAAAGACAAGAATATAAGAGCTACTATGACAGGTCAGTAAGGGAGAGAAAAGAGTTTGAAGAGGGAGAAAATGTTGTAGTAAAAGAAGGTAGAATATGGGAGCCCGGAAAGATAATCAGAAAATTGGAAGAGCCAAGATCATATATAGTGCAGAAAGAGAATGGAAATGAAATTAGAAGAAACAGTTCCCATTTAAGGCAGTCACTAAATGAAGGAAATTTTAATCAAAACCATGAATTTATTTTAAATGAGGGTGTTGATATTCCAAGTAATGATATTCCAAGCAATGATATAAGTATTAGCATAAATCGGGCAACTGACAAAAGCAGGAGGCCTGTTAAACTGCCTCAGCATTTTAAGGATTTTCATATGTATTAGCTTTACTCTAATTCACTAGTAAAAGGGGAAGATGTAATATTATCTGATATTATTAGAAAGTGCCCCTCCCTAATAGCTAGAAGGTCAATGGGGGACAGTTGAGAAAAACGCGAGATTCCTACGCATCCTAATTGTTAAACTCATGTATTATTTTATATTTAAATAATAAACATATATGATTAAACAATAGTAGTTTAAGTCATACTACAGTGTATACGTGTTTTTAACTGAATGAATCGCGGTCGCCATTAAAACTGCTGCATTTTTAGTTATTATATAGTTCTTATCACTTTTCCTCTGTACTTTTCTACATTTGGCATCTTGCATGATAATGCCATGTCTCAAACGAGAAAAGAAGCTTGCCATAATGTTATCTGTGATTGAACAATTATTGTGATAGAAATAACCTTTTAACCTTTTAAAAAAAAAAATTAACTTTTTAATTTGTTTTGTGATCGTATTTTATAATTCTGACATCTATATGACTATTGGAATGTTCTATTATTCTGATTGTAATTATTTTAGCTTTCTCGGCCTGAAGATGGGAATTGTTAAGTCCCGAAACATGTCGCCCCCCTGCTTTTTTTGAAGCATTTAAATTTAAGTAAACATCTTAAAGATTGTGAGTTATTTGTCCCCTTACCCGCCTTCAGAGGTTTTACTTTGATAATATGTACTCACACTAGGTTAAAGAACGTTTGCTTTCTTTATATATATTAATATATTCCACAGGGTGTTTCAAATTTTCACCAAATTATCAACATTTTGTTTTCCCTCGTATAATTGACAGATGGAAACTTTCATTTTTAATTCACTAAAAAGTCAAATAATTTAGCTACAAATTACTTAAAAAATCATCAAAATCGGCCTATAAGACCAAAATATATTAAACTTTAAAATACATCAAAATTTTAAGGTGTCCTTTTTTAAATATTTCTCCTTCCTTATGGCCCTGTATTTACTTATGAGCACCAGTCAAGGTAAAAGATAACTGTCAAATAAAGTTGTCATTTCAGAAATTTATCTATTTAGTGCTTTATTATTATTATTATTAAAAACTCATACCTACATCGAAAATATTAGCCATGAATTACACTACCGAAGAAAAAGTATTGATGATTAAATGGTATTATCAAGGAAATAGTTATCAAAAGGTGTCGGACATGTTTGCTGCTCTGTATCCGAATAGACCGATACCTGGAAAATCTACAATAGCAAGGAATATCTAGAGATTTAAGACTAAAGGTACACTAATAAATAACGGCAGATGTGAAGTAAGGCAGGAACAAAGAGAAGATGCAAGAAATGATACCGACTTGGAAGTTTTATTGTGCGTGGAAGAGAACGATGGAAAGATCAGCACAAGGAAACTTGAGGATGAAATAGGAATAGATCACACTACAGCGTTTCGAATTTTGATGAAAAGCACCAAGAGCTACGAGATCGGGACGAAATACGGCGGCAAGCGTTTTGTTTTGATGGAAAGAGCAAACACGGATAGGGAATTTTTAAAAAACATATGTTTCACTGACGAATGCACGTTTATCTTAAATAATGAACCCAATGTTCAAAATTATCGATATTGGAACAAAGAAAACCAACACAGGTTTGTCGAAACAAGGACGCAATATCCACAGAAAGTAAATGTTTGGGCAGGGATATTCGGACACAATATTATCAGGCCATTATTTCTTACGCGAAATTTAAATGCAGAATATTATTTGGAACTACTCGAAAATCATATTTTACCTGCTTTACATGATGCCGCTAGGGAAAATCAGGAAGTTTTGTACCAAATGGATGGCTGCCCGGCACATACTACCCTGGCTGTTCGGGAATATTTAGACAATAGTTTTAACGGAAACGTTATTGGCCTAAATCATAAAGTAAATTGGCCAGCAACGTCTCCTGATATTTCGCCAAATGATTTCTTTCTCTGGGGCCATTTAAAAAACAGGGTATACAAGGATAAAAAATACCCAAATCTAGACGAGTTAAAAAATGCTATTTCTGCCGAATGCAATAGAATTTCAGTTTACCAACTAGCGAATGTAAGAAGAGAATTTTATGATCGCCTGGGTTGTCTGTCTAGCAGTCGATTGAGGAATATTTGAACATCTTCTTAAATCCTAAAGTTCTAACAATTTAATAGTACCTAAATTAATAAGTTATTGAATATTGTAATAATACTATAATTAACCTTGTAATTGATTACTTTATTTTACTTTAATTCATATTAATTTGTATTTATAAATACATCTTTAAGATTTCTGAAGTGACAACTTCATTTGACAGTTATCTTTTACCTTGACTGGTGCTCATAAGTAAATACAGGGCCATAAGAAAGGAGAAATATTTAAAAAGAAATCGGCGATAACTCGTAAACGAGCTAATCAAAAATATCTAAAGTTATTATTTTGAATGTGGGTTTTAGTGCTCTTCAATAAATCTAAATAGTAATATAATAATCTATTCTTAATATAATTATCTATTCTCTAAACTAATAAATAATAATCTATTCTCTAAAATAATTAGGGAAGTCAATAATTGACCCCATTAAAATTTACATGGGATTTCTTATGTCCCGTCCGACGATGCAACACCCGGTATGTATAAATTGTATAGACATATACAGGGTGAGTCTTAAATAAGTGCAAATATTTTCGGCCCCAAAAACACTATCATGGTTTTTTTTCGCGAAAAAAAATGTTTAAATTTTTTTGTAATAATTTTTTTTTTTGAAAAGTTCTCAATTTAAAAACATATTTTTTTATATATGGCAACATATGTAGGTAATAAAATAAATTTAAAAGAAAGAAGCACCAGAAAAGATCCAGTGATCCGGTGATCCAAAATTTAAGCAAAAAATCATATTTTTGGAAATTTTCAAAGTGAAATAACTCGATTATTTTAGACTTATTTGAAAAAAAGGTAAAGATAAAATATATTTCTTTTATCGAGATCTACCAGCTCTGAAAACATTTGCACTTATTTAATGCTTACCCTGTATAAAAACTAACAATATTGAGAACAACTTTCAAATAATATTGTTTTCAAATTTAATTAATACTCACCACACAGCAACCGTTTTGCCAAAACCAAGATCAATGTTGTTGAGTTGAGCAATAAAAATGGCCGCTACAGCTTCATAAAGGGCTGTACCGTCCATGTTGATGGTAGCACCGATAGGTATCACGAATCTGGTGACTCTGGGATCCAAACCCATCTTGTCCATTGTTTGTATCGTGATAGGCATCGTTGCTGAACTATAACATCAAAAGACTTATAAAATGATAGAACGAGATAAAAATACGAAAATTCCAACTAAAATATTAGATATTTTAAAATAAAATAATTTTACTTACCTAGAGGCAGTACCAAAAGCGGTTACCAGTACTTGACTCAATTGTCCGATAACTTTGAAGGGTAACTTGCGCAAAGCCACAAAGTATATGACGGACAACGTGACGAATCCGTGTATAAACAACCCTAACAGTACTGTCATGAAGTACAACCCTAATCGGCCTATAAGGTCTGCAAAACTGGATATTTCCAGTACTTTTGCGGCAACCAAGAAAAATACACCAAGAGGCGATGCCCTAGAAAAAAAATGAAACGTTAATAAAACGGTAGGTACTCCTTTTATCTTTATAGATGCAGTAATTTCAACAAATGACATAAAAACTAGGCCTTTTTTACGTAAAAAAGTGTTCTTCGTTTAGTTCGAAATGGTGAACGGTTTTCAAGATATTTGCGTTTAAAGGTTACGTAGCATCGATTTTAGTATTAGCGAAATGATAAAATGTAAAGAAATTATAAATAAATTATTCTCCTGATTTTGACAAATATACACTCAGATGCAAAAAAAACGCAAGGGAGAAATTTTCGGTCAAATTTAAAGTGTTATATTTTTGTTATTATTAGCCCTATTTTCATGAATTTTTTAGCAACCTGTTTATAATTACAAATTACAGCAACTTTAATTCATAAACTCAGTTTTTTATAAACTTTAGTATTTGGCATATTATACAGGGTTGTTCACCACATACGACACGGAGTATTGTAGCTAAACGATGAGATTTTTACAAATTGTAAGTTTTGGGTTCGATGAAGGACTATTAGAGGTACAATTTAAAAAGATTTAAAATTTTACAAGATACAGAGTGTCCCAAATAAGTAAAAAATATCAAAGTTGTATTTTTTTAAATGGAACACCCTATATATTATTACATTTTTAGTTTCTACGATTAAAATAAAGGTAAATTCGATTAAGGTTTATTACACTTAAACCTTACCGTTTATGAAATATTTTCAATTTTGTGAAATTGCAGTATAAAAATTTTAAGGCTTCATTTCTCCGAGGCTATGAAAGTTTTTAAGACTAAATATTTACTGAAGTTTATTTATTGATCAGTTATTGTGTTGCAATAATAAAAATTTTACTACCTTACATACAGAGTGTCTAAAAATTTATTTTAAATAATTACTAGCTTTAAACGGCAATAACTTGTTTAATTTAAATGGAACACCCTGTATATTTTATGCGAAATCAGATGCACAATTTAATTGTCTATCAAATTGTATTATACCATTTTTTACCTATCTCTTCAAGTTTCCGTAGAAAATGCATTTTCTTGTAATTTAGAACTCATTTATCAATATACCTATGGAATACTGGCATTTTAGATTATTTTTAAAGATGTGCCAAATTTCTAAAGAGTACAGATACTAATATTGTCGATATAGTTCGTTTATTTCATTAAAAAAATAAAAAAAAACTGTTTAAATATATGTTAAAGAGGACCAATTAATATGATTCCATTATTCAAACTACAGGAATTGACTGTTTACGTAGATTAATAATAATTGCTCCAAATACTAAAAAACTGAATTATGTATGTGTATTAGACAGTGTGGTAAAAAAACTAACACCTTAAAAATGATATTTAATTTTTTGACAAATGCTTATTTATAACAGAGCCGTTCATTTTCATAACTTATTATTATATTGATTTCTGATTCAAATCCGCATTTATTTAGAATAATTTATTAAAGAACACAATTAAGTATGTGATTAATTAGTATTTGGGCAGAAATACTGGTGGTATATTTAATTAATGGTATACTCTTTTATAAAAATTTAAATACCGTATGATCGAATAAAAACGGCGTCAGCGATGACTATGAAATGAAAATCGCTGTCATTTCATATGTAAATTTATATGGGAAATGTCATCGATCGTCATTTCCAAGCCAACCGGACGCCGTTTTTATTCGATCATAGGGTAGTTTTCTTTTTGCATACAAATGGGCTAGTAATATTATCGTTCTACTAAAAACTATAATATTACTAGCCTGTGCATTTTGTACATTTGTTGTTTTAAAAACAATCTAAAATGTCAATATTTCATGGGTATATTGATATATGAGGTCTAAATTATAAGAAAATGCATTTTCTACGAAAACTAGAAGGGATAGGTAAAAAGTGATATAATACAATTTGATAGACAATTAAATTGTGCATCTGATTCTCCTAAAATATATAGGGCGTTCCATTTAAATTAGACAAGTTATTGTCGCTTAAAGCCAGTAATTATTTAAAATAAATTTTTAGACACTCTGTATAAGGTAGTATAATTTTTATTATTGCAACACAATAACTGATCAATAAATAAACTTCAGTAAATATTTAATATTAAAAACTTTGATACTCTCGGAGAAATGCAGCCTTAAAATTTATACTGCAATTTCACAAAATTGAAAATATTTCAAAAACAGTAAGATTTAAGCAGGGCCGGCGGAAGGGCCGGGCGACCGCCAGGGGCGCCGAATATGAGGGGCGCCACGCCAGCAACTAAAATATTTAAAAAAAAATTGTTCTTGGTATTTTCCTTATAACTGAAAAGCTATCAACTTTTTGTAAATAACCCTTCTTTCTATAATTCTTGTTTTTATAAATTTTCTCTAAACAATAAACTGTTTTGAGTTAAGAGCCAGCAAAATTGACAGTTTTAGACTGACCGCTCAAAATTGCATTGTGTCTACTACCCACACCCTTTATTTGTTAATGGCTGATCTGCCCTAAAATTATATGAAACAAATATTCAATTCGCAAGAAGCTAAATAGGATCCCGATATCATAATCAAAAAAAAGCTTGTAAGTTTGCCTCATTAATTTATTAACAGTAGTGGGAAAATATCAATCTTTTGGTGATTTTGATTGTTCTGGATTGAATATGTAGTAATATATGGTAAATGGTAGCAGAATCGTAGAAATTTCTCATTAAAGCAAGAAAAAAGAATGCATCTTAAATCTCAAAACTGGCTGATCCTCATTTTGAAGCCGACAAAACTGTATCTGATCATACCTAATTCTGCACGAAATAATTGATTGTGTAAAAGAAAAGAAGTTTTTCTTAAATTCTTATAGAAAAATAATGCAATTGCTTGCAACTAAATAGTAATGTTTTCAAAGATCACTTATACTTATCATTTATATAGCGGGTGCGTCTGAAAACTGGCTCACTCTTATAACTTGTATATTTTTTCAGATGAAAAAACGAGATTTGGTATGTTAGTATACGACATAAATTAGGATTAATTGACGTATTCAATTGTTTTTGATCACTTCCTCTTTCACCGGAAATTAATAAAACTTTTGATTTTTAAATGTCAACCTCGGTATATTTCTACTTTATGCGATAGAAAATGATAATCTGAATAGAATGATATATCATATGTCAACTTTTGACATTTTCGCATAATATGGTTTATTTGAAATTAATGTAACATACGGTTCATAACATAACGACAATTTGACTCGAAATATCAAGTGTTTGGTACAAAATTATTCGTAAAAAATTCTTTTTCCAAATATGCAAATGAGCCACTTGTTCCGTTTGAAAAAATTGGCATATGATTAAAAATACGATTTGGGCATTTTTTAACTCACCAGGACAAGACACGAAAAACATTAGACGATCAAATCTATTTTTCCAAGGTTCCTTGTTTAAAAATTAGTGTTTTTAACACAGCCATGGCACTCTAGATTAAAATTTAAAATACGATTTTTTGAGCAAAAATGTCAAAACTTGACATATGATATGTCATTCTACTCAGAGTGTCATTTTCTATCGAATAAACCAGAAATATACCTACCGTCGGTGCCATTTAAAAATCAATAGTTTTTCGTTGAAACAGAAAGTGACCAAATGCAATTGAATACGTCAATCAATCCTAATTTATGTCATATACTAACATACCAAATTTTGTTTTTTATCTAAAAAATTAAAAGAGTTATAGGGATGAGTCACTTTCAAGATGCACCCGGTATAGAAAAAACAACAACCGCGGACTAAGATTGAAAGAAGAGAAGAATTTTGAAGTACCTTTAAGTGAAATTTTATTGTTAAAGTAGCATAAATATAGTTGTTATGTTAACATGTTAACTATTGAGGAGGGGCGGGCGCCAGGTAGGGTATTCGCCCGGTCTCAATATTTCCCTTCCGCCGGCCCTGGGTTTAAGTGTAATAAACCTTAATCAAATTTACCTTAATTTTAATCGTAAAAACTAAAAATGCAATAATAGACAGGGTGTTCCATTGAAAAAAATACAACTTTGGAATTTTTTATTTATTTGGGACACTCTGTATCTTGTAAACATATTTTTAAATTGTAGCTCTAATAGTCCTTCAACGAACCCAAAACTTACAATTTGTAAAAATCTTATCGTTTAGCTACAATACTCCGTGTCGTATGTGGTGAACAACCCTGTATATTATAGAATTTGTAGAATTTCTATTAAATAAATTCCTCTTTCCAGATTAAAGGCGAGCGGCCACTGCGAGCGTAACTAAACTAAGCTAAGAATATGAAAACAAACGGTAATTAAATGGGAACGATTTTCGCTCAGTAGTCAGCTAAGTTTTCGTATTGTATCTCTGCTATCATAGAACTAATCGCTGCAAAAAATTCGCTGGAACCTGTCACGAACTAAAACGAGCGAAACTAAACTACGAGTCGAATCTTCGTTCATATATTTTCGTTTGTTTCGATCAAGTAGCCGCTGACGCATTAAAAAGTATGGAAGCTGATTTTTACAAATCTTATCTTCGCTTAGTTTAGTTTCGCTCGCAGTGGCCGCCCGCACGATTTTCGCTCAGTAGTCAGCTAAGTTAGCTGCGTTTTCGTATTGTATCTCTGCTGTCATAGAACTAATCGCTGCGAAAAATTCGCTGGAAGCTGTCACGAACTAAAACGAGCGAAACTAAACTACGATTTGAATCTTCGTTCATATATTTTCGTTTAGTTTCGCTCAAGTGGTCGCTGATGCATTTAAAAGTATGGGAGCTGATTTTTACAAAAATTATCTTCGCTTGGTTTAGTTTAGTTTCGCTCGCAGTGGCCGCCCGCCTTAATGCTGAAAATCGATTTCTATTAAGATATCTTTGGTTACTATAGAATTACACTCTTAAAAGGATGTTGTGATTGATCGGCCTTCATTTTTTTTATGTAAAATTAATTTAGGGTATTAAAATAAACTATTTTTGAATAACAAATACCAAGCAGAGTAAAACTAAGACAATAATAAAATTTTATATTAAGAAAATCAAAAATTTTGTAACAAATGTAATTTTTTTTATCATTAAGTTTTCAAAAATAACTTTAAACAATAGCAAATGATGATGCTTTTTAAATGATAGTATTTTATATTTTTCTCCTAATTAATTACAATAATTAGGAAAATTACGAGTAATAATGTTATCCAGTATTGTAATGTTATTCCTTATTTGTAGTAAGAATATGTTCTGTTGTATTGGAAAGTTTGTTTATACCGGGTGCGTCTCAAAAGTGGCTCACCCCTATAACTTTTTTATTTTTTGAGATAATAAAACGAGATTTGGTATGTTAGTATAAGAGATAAATTAGGGTTGATTGACGTATTCAATTGTTTTCTGTCACTTCCTGTTTCACCGGAAATGACTACAACTTTTGATTTTTAAATGGCACCCTCGGTATTTTTTAACTTTATTCGATAGAAAATGACATTCTGAATAGAATGACATATAATAATGTCAATTTTTGACATTTTCGCTTAAAACAAAATCGTATTTTAAAATTCAATCTAGAGTGCCATGGTTATGTTAAAAACACTAATTCTTAATCAGGAAGCCTTAGAAAAATAGATTTGATCGTCTAATCTCGTCTAGCTCAAATCGTATTTTAAATCATATCTCAATTTTTTTAAATGGAACGAGGGTGGCTCATTAGCGTATTTGAAAAAAGCATTTTTTTACGAATAATTTGATACCACACACTTGGTATTTCGAGTCAAATTTTCGTTACGAACCGCAAGTTATAATTTCAAATAAACCATATGTAAAAATGTCAAAAGTTGACATATGATATGCCATTCTATTCAATTGTTAGTTTCTATCGAATAAAGTAAAAAAATACCGAGGGTGCCATTTAAAAATCAAAAGTTGTAGTCATTTCCGGTGAAACAGGAAGTGACGGAGAACAATTGAATACGTCAATCAATCCTAATTTATGTCATATACGAATATACCAAATCTCGTTATTTTAACTGAAAAAATAAAAAAGTTATAGGGGTGAGCTACTTTTGAGACGCACCCGGTATATTCGCTGGTACTTACCAGATAACCCAACTAGTAATAATCATCATGGCTTCGCTCAAAGCGTGGAAAAACGTGAGCAATATTTTTCCTTGTTCTCCTAGCTGGCCCATAGCAATACCAAAAACGATGGAAAATGTGACCAGACCCAGTACGTTCGTGGTACTTTCATACCTTTCCTCAAACTTCCACTTATCTGCGGCGTATATATCTTCCAATTCAACGTGACCATCTAAAATAGATAAATAATCATTTACTACTAATGTACAGATATTTTCTGTAAAACTTGGATAGTAAGTTCATTACAGTAATACTTTTATACAGGGTGTCATTGAAATGGTGTAAAAAAAATCGGGGAGTGATAGTACTCCTAAAAAGAGTAAAAAAAGTTCCTATAAGTATAGGGAGGAAAATGCATATTAAGGGAGTTAGGGGCACTGAAAGGGTGAATTTAAAAAACGGTTGTTTTAAAATTGTAGGCTTAATGTAGAATGTAGAATGTAGAATGTTTAAGAGGGGAGTTAATCACCGCGACCTTATAGATCTATTGTGTGTTCCCCTTTCTTGAGTTATAACGAGTTATAACTCATCATACAGTCTCAGGGCTTTAAGAAAAGCCAGTATCTGAGACGGCTCCACAGAGGCCAGCTCTCCATCCTCGACATCAGACGTGCCAAGGTTCATGGCACGAATGGTCGTCGTCTCGGCGCACTCAGTGATAAGGTGTTCTGGTGTTTCCCCATTTTCTCCACAAAATCTGCATTCGCCGTTGTTTCTCAGTTTCAGCCTACTGAGGTGTTCGTTGAGGAGACAGTGTCCTGTTAGAAACCCCGTGACAATCCGAAGATTGTTTTTACTTAAATCAAGGAAAACCTTTGATTTTTCTCGGTCATAAGTTCTAAGGAACTTTTTCGAGTGTCTTAGACCGTTGGAGGACACCCATTCCAAGTTACGGATGGAGTCTTCCAGATTCTTCAGTTCCGCTTTCAGTTGGTTCCCGTTTGGAAAACAGAACGGTTCTGGTCCAGTTAGTGGAGTGTTCGCTCCTTTCCTACTAGATCATTTGCTTTTTCATTGCCTTCTATCCCTTGGTGAGCAGGCACCCAGAGTAGGAGGACTTTATTTTCTTTGCCTAATTTGTTGAGCTTCTCTAGGCATTCTTTGACCAACTTCGAATTGATGGTTACTGAGTTGATCGCGTTAAGTGCTGCTTGACTATCGGATAGGATGGCAATTTCCTGTTTTCGATAGTTCCTATCCAAGATAAATTGTACGCATCTTTCGATAGCGCAAATTTCTGCCTGAAGGATACTGGGGTAGGTGCCCATTGGTTCGGAGTATTCAGTTTTCGGCCCAAATACTCCTATCCCTGTCCCTGCTTTGGTTTTGGAAGCATCAGTATACCACGTGATGGTATGGTCTTTTATATGCTGAGTAAGCGTTTCTTTCTTCCAATCCTTTTTATTACTCAAACTACAGTGAGGTGTTTCTCAAAGTTGTAAATTCTTGGTATGTCATCCACTGGGAGTTGGAGAAGTGGAATTTTCTTTTTGAGGGTGTTCCAAGCCCCTGACCTGAAAATTCTCCCAGTACTGTTTCCGTCAATGACCATTCTAATCATTGTCGCATTGACATAACTACCGACGACAATATGCAGTGGGGTTAGGTCTAGAATGACCTCCATTGCTGCTGTTGGACATGTTCTCATGGCACCTGTGATGCAGATACATGCCAGTCTCTTTACTTTGCACAGGTTTTGCCTTGCTGTACGTTGCTCTAGTTTTGTATACCAAGCAACTGCTCCATAAGTAATCATGGGTCTTACTATCATGGTAATACAACCAGCGCAAAATGTTAGGGGCGCAGCCCCACCTATTTCCCCCCAGTCTTCTGCATATCAGAGAGTCTTTGTGGCTTTGCTAGTAATGTTCTTAATATGCCTGTTCCAGAGAAGTTTACTATCCAGGGTTATTCCCAGATATTTCACTTCCAGCGATGGCAGTATTTCCTTTCCATCTAGATACATTCTTTTCAAGTTTTTCAAACTTCGCTTTCTGGTGAATGGCACTACTGCTGTTTTATCTGAGTTAATACTCAGCCCGACAGTCCTGCACCATCTCTCAGCGATGCGGAGTCCTCTTTGGATAATATCACACAGGGTGCCTTCATGTTTCCCCCGTGCAATGATGACTATGTCATCTGCATACCATATGCAGTGTATTCCCGCTAGAGTTAATTCTTCCATTAGTTCATCCACTACCAAGCTCCACAGTAGGGGGGAGGTCACTCCACCTTGTGGAGTTCCTTGCGTTGTTTTAACAACTACAGTTTTGGTACAACTGCTGTTCGTGTTGAGAGCATTTCCCAAAACCAGCGAATTATCGTACTGTTCACCCCTCTTGTTTCAAGAGATCGCTTGACCACGTTGTGAGGTATATTGTCAAATGTACCTCACTGCAATGTCCAAGAAGGCACAAAGTGCTGTTTCTTTGCTATCCAGGCTTGCCTGTCTTAGCTCAGTTAACTGGTACAGAGTAGTTTCTGTGGATCTACCCGCTCTATATGCATGCTGACTATCGTGCAGTGGTTTAACCTGTAGATGATTTACTCTAATATGGTTGTCCACTACTTTCTCCATCGTTTTTAATATGAACGATGTGAGACTAATAGGCCTAAATGATTTGGGGTTAGCCCAGTCAGTTTTGCCTATTTTGGGTATGAAGATGACTTTAGCTCTTCTCCAGATGGTTGGTATATATCCCATCGCTAAGCTGCTTCTTGTAATGTTTAATAGATGGTGTGTAGCTATTTCCTGACCCTTCTTTAGAAGAGCAGGAAAAATCCCATCTATTCCTGCTGTTATTGTAGGCTTAAAGAACGAGATAATATTTCGAAAAAAAATCCTCTGCCATAAATTTTGACCCTAAATCAAATGGTGATACTGAAAAATTATTTGGAAAAGCGGAAAGGGTAGTTTTTGAAAGGGTAGGGGGTTGTTTTGTGAATAACTTTTTTGAGATTATTTTTTTGCAACGCGGGTTTATTTTTTAAAAACTACATACTTTTTCCTACAAAAAAGATACTCTTGTTGCACATCGCCCAGAGCGATGGTTTTGGAGAAAATTGAAGGCAAAGAGTTTGCTATGACGACGGGTTGCTAACTGGTTAATCAACATAAACTTATGAAAGTTATGGCGGTTCAAAAGTAACCAAGTAGTTGTTATTAAATAATTAATTGGAAAATCAAAATTTCATGCTTTTTAAAACATCTTATTGCTTTAAAACCGAAATAATCTTTTTTGGTTTTAAAAAAATTTGGTTTTCTCAGTGCCGATTAATACTGAAAAGCAACTACGGCAACGTATTATTGACTGTTCCAATCAAATTCGGACAGCAACAAGGATATTCCACAGGGTACGCAGATCGCGGAGAAGAAGATCAGATGCCTACATTAAAATGAATGATGGTCACTTTGAACATTTACTATGAATGAATTAAGGAATGCATTATTTTAATAATTTTGGTAATATGATTATTTCTTTTTTTATAGCAAAATAAAAACACTAAATCACCACAATACACCAAAAACACTTTTACTTTTACACTGGGCGCGCGTTTCGCTATACCATCATCAGCAGATGATTATAAACTCATTCTCTCACTCAGTTTATAATCATCTGCTGATGATGCTAACATGGTTAGCGAAACGCGCGTCCAGTGTAAAAGTAAAAGTGTTTTGGTGTATTGTGCTGATTTAGTGTTTTTATTTTGCTGTGTAACACCTAAAGTTCCAACCCTCAACTGTAATCGTTTTTTATAGCAATAAGATGCTTTAAAAATCATGAAGTTTTGATTTTTCAATTAATTATTTAATAACTACTTGGTTACTTTTGAACCGCCATAACTTTCATAAGTTTATGTTGATTAACCAGTTAGCAACCCGTCGTCAGAGCAAACTGTTTGTCTTCAATTTTCTCGAAAACCATCAATCTGGGCGATGTGCAACAAGAGTATCTTTTTTGTAGGAAAAAGTATGTAGTTTTCAAAAAATAAAGCCACGTTGCAAAAAAAATAACCTCAAAAAAGTTATTCACGAAACAACCCCCTACCCTTGCAAAAACTACCCTTTCCGCTTTTCCAAATAATTTTTCAGTATCACCATTTGATTTAGGGTCAAAATTTATGACAGAGGATTTTTTTTCGAAATTTTATCTCGTTCTTTAAGCTTACAATTTTAAAACAACCGTTTTTTAAATTCACCCTTTCAGTGCCCCTAACTCCTTTAATATGCATTTTCCGCCCTATACTTATAGGAACTTTTTTTACTAAGTATTTTTAGGAGTACTATCACCCCCCGACTTTTTTTACACCATTTCAATGACACCCTGTACATCTCGTCACCTTGTTATACTCCAAAATAAATTAATATCGTTACAATACTCACAGTGGGTGGCGTTATAGCCGATTTTTTCCAGCTGCCTCAGCAAAGATGAATTGATGGGCCTCCTCCTTTCGAGGGAAGATAGAGATTCGAAAATGGCGTGTTTGAATTCCGCATCCAACGTAGAATTGCCCACTATGGCTCTGAGTATTTCGGCATTACCGTTTTTGTACAATGTTAGAACATTGGGTTCGTGAAGGAATGTTTGTGACTGAAAAAAAAGAAATAGTTAATAAATGCGATATATTGGGTGAGTTAAAATTAGATCTATTTTCTTTTATTTCAAATGAAATGAATATCTTTCATTTTATAACATAATTATAGGTAGTTGTATATATGCCTTGATAAATAATTTTCATATTCAAAAATGATGTTTATTCGCCAACTTTCTATTCCGGAAACTTATAAATGTATGTAAAATGCTTAGTTTCGGATATACAGGGTGTAGAAGTTTCATTTTTATTTCGATTTTTTTCCAAATAATTTCTGAAGTAACGTCAATATTTCGATGAAAATTGGTGTCTTGATTGATGAAAATTTGATTTTGATGTCAATATGACTCATATCTGTGGGGGCGCCACCTACATGTGTTTTAACTATTTTGAAAAGTAATAACTTTTCGTCCGTACCTGTATAAAACTACTGGGTGAAAAAATATACATTTCCATGATTTTATACGTAAAAAAGTCTCTTGGTAAAAATCGCTACGAGCAACCATTTTCAAGATATTTACTGGAATGGAAATAGTCAATACATGTCATTATTTGCCTGAAATGATAAATTTGGGAACTTTTTATTTTTTTTAAATTAATCATAAAATTATCTTCGAAAAAAATGATGATAAAACGGTTTCAATTGAACTTTTGGCTAGTGATGGGTTGTTATTTAACTATCTGTTATTTTATAACAATTATTTAGAAATAACATAACGCAACCGTTACTGCTTTTAAAAAATAACAGATATAAAATAACGACACGCAGAGATCGAGTGTTCGTGAAACGAAGTCGGCGCTCTGCACCGCCACGAAATTCGATGCTGCTCGAAGCAATTCCAAAAACAACTAGTATGGATGGAAAACCTATTATTTCGACAACCATCGATACAGGCGGCGAGATACAACGGACAACGGAGTGGGGTATGCGCTACGGCGCGGCGCGTCGTGTTGGGCTGACAACAGCTTAAAAATAATAGGATATAAAAGAAGCAGCTTTTTTGAAACAGTTGCGGGCATAACGCCTGGCTGTCGAGATAACAGGAGTGGGAAAGGAGCGCTGCTGCATCGGTCGATTGTCGATGGAGGCTCGCAACGGGTTGGAGAATAACGCATCAGTTGTTTTAGCTATGTTGTTTTTTTACCTGTTACGAGCATAACAGAACGGCGTTCGAGATAATCGGAGGTTTGAAACAGGTTGGAGAATAACGCATCAGTTGTTTTAGATACATATTGTTTTTCAACCTGTTACGAGCATAACGGGCGGAGGTCGAGATATTATGGCGCTGTATGTTTCAATACTTTGTTATTAAGTTTCAATATTTAAGTATTTATTTATTCTGAAAAATTTTCAGAATAATATTTTAAGATTTTTTAAAAATGTATACAGGGTGTTTTGAAAAATCTGGTCATTGATTAATCACGATCCTGCTTAAAGCCCTTGACGTAAAAAGCTGATTTTTGGAAAACGGATTGACTTTAGGGTGTAGAGGTGCGATAAGAAGGGATTTTTCGAAACTCAAATTCTAAGGGGGTGAAACCACCCTCAAATATTAGAATATTTTTTATTTAAAAACTGGTGAGTTTTTCGAAAAAACTCTTAAACACGTATATTTTATTTTGTTGTTTTACATATTTTGAGATTTTTACAAAATATATACAGGGTGTTTCATAAAATATGACCACTGAGTAATCACTATTCTGCTTAAACTGCTTGACGTTTAAAGCTGATTTTTGGTAAACGGATTGACTGTGGGGTGTAGAGGTGCGATAAGGAGGGGTTTCTCGAATCTCAAATTCCAAGAGGGTGAAAACGCCCCTCAAATATTACAATATTTATTATTTAAAAAACGGTTAGTCTTTCGGGAAAACGATTGGACACGCATAATTTATTTTGTTTTTTTACATATTTTGAAATTTTTTAAAAAATAATACAGGGTGTTCCAAAAAGTTGAGTAATTGATTAACCACGATTCTGCTTAAACTGCTCGACGTTTAAAGCATATTTTTGGCAAATGTGAGAAAATTTTATCCAGTTTGTATGTTAATGGAAATTCTTGCTTTGCTTTATCATCACCATTACAAATTAATAATTCGATGCGAACGAAGTCGCGGGTACAACTTAACAAGTATAGCTAGAGACGTGAGAAATATAAAATAAGAGACGCCCCCCGATGCGCAGTGGACATCCCACAAATTTGCTTCAATCAGATTTTTCGTAGCGTAACTGCATCTCTCTTCCGCCGAATGCGTTCTCTCTCTATCGTGTGCGCGACCGGTGCTATCCCCAAGTCTCTTCCTATATTTGTCAAACTGTACATGCTAGTTTAAGTGTAAAATTAATTCGAACTCTAGTGTGTAGTTGGTTTACTTATGAAGAATATACTACACATTTTCTTATATTGCTATTTTTTGACCGCAAATGGTAAAATCATAACGAAGAGCTTCTCGCCCTCGAGTGAGATGCACCCTGTACACTGCTACGCAATTCAGAATCTACGCGGATCGAGGGGTAGGGCGTAGGTAGATCGGAATTTATAGATATAGACGAGTGGCGGCATTTTGGCTTTTTTATATTGCAATTTGTAAACAGCGCTTATTTGTAAACAACCCCCGTTTTTAGAGAGGTATTTTAGATAACAATCGATATTTAGAAATGTTATGACACTCTGGAAATACTACCACCGAGCACGGCATTGTTGCAACTGCGTTAATACGCCTGGCGGTGACCGCCTCATATTCTTTCAGATATTTAGCAATAAAATAAAGAAACCTGTTATTTTTAAGCTGTTATTTTAAGCTGTTTTTTATAAATAACTATAACAGTTTCAACTGTTATCTAAAAATAACAGTTTTGCCCATCACTATAAGATTTACCACTTTTTCTTTTATTTCTTTTTTGCAATTTATGGTTAAAGTTTCAGTTGGTCGCCCTTGAGATAAAACATCCCTCTTATCTTCATCTGTCCACCGTCTGAAGTGAGTTTCCAGTAAATTGCACACCAAGTCATTAAATAGCTTCATTTTTAACATATACACATACAAAACAGTTTTAAAACACAACAACAAAACAAACAGCAAAAATTAACAAGTTAAATCAATAAAAACAATTAACAAACAACAATAAATAATCAACAACAACTTTACAGTCTTTACACGGTTAATTACTCGCCGAACTAGCCGAATATTAGCATAAATGCATAAATTCACGCATTTCCTGAATAATTAAGTTGAAGGAAGACGAAGAGAACTGCCCAAAAACTCATTCACATCGGTCACCGATAATAAATTTCGGTTCGCTATTCCATGGGTATATTGATAAATGAGGTCTAAATTATAAGAAAATGCATTTTCTACGAAAATTTGAAGAGATAGTTAAAAAATACAATTTGATAGACAATTAAATTGTGCATCTGATTCTCATAAAATATACAGGGTGTTCCATTTAAGTTAAACAAGTTATTGCCGTTTAAAGCTAGTAATTATTTAAAATAAATTTTTAGACACTCTTTATAAGGTAGTATATTTTTTATTATTGCAATACAAAATTTAGAAAATAGAAATACTTCAGTACAATATTTGGGTTAAAAATTTAAATACGCCTAGAGGAATGAAGCATTAAAATTATTACTGTATTTTGACAAAAACCGAAATATTTAAAAAACAGTAAGGTTTAAGTGTGGTAAACCTTAAACAAATTTACCTTTATTTTAATCATAGAAACTAAAAATGTAATAATATACAGGGTGTTCCATTTAAAAAAATACAACTTTGATATTTTTTATTTATTTGGGACACTCTGTATCTTGTAAAAATATTTTTCAATTGTAGCTCTAATAGTCCTCTAACGAACCCAAAACTTACAATTTGCAAAAATCTAATCGTTGAGCTACAATACTCCGTGTCGTATGTGGTGAACAACCCTGTATATTTACAATTTTTGTTTATTTTTATTTACCAAGTTTGGATGTGACAGTTTGACATCTCTGAGAGTATTGAACTTGTGTCATGGCTAACTAAGTAAATTTTTTTAAAAATTATAAGAAGTGGCTATAACTCAGTTGGTTTGGTTGGTTTGTAAAAAAGATTGATTTTTGGTGAAAATAAGATTTGAAAACGTCTTACTTATTTTCAGAATAAACGTTTGATCTGGGGAATAACATTTAAGTTCGAACCAAAAATTCCAAACGGCATTTTGTATAATTTTTTACTTACAAGGCCAGTGACTAAAGAATCCAAGGACAAATAACACCCGAGAGCAAATTGTGCCGATGACACCAAACAGTGCCGTGGCACATATTTTTCTTAACCTAGCTGTTTGAAGCAATATTTATATTTTTTGATAATTGTTTTGACTACGCCTATGGTGTATCATACTAATTAATTACGAAAAAAAAGGATTAAAATGTTAACAAAAGGTACAAAACTAGTATCAACGTATATCACATATCAAGTACATATAGATGGTAACTGAAATTGAAGAATAATTATCTGGAATTCAATAAGAAATCGCTAAAAAGTTGGAGTGGACTGTTTATTTACCTATGAAACGTAACTCTCTAAACGGCTCTTTCTTATCGCTGCTGCTTTTACACTTGAAAGCTGAACAACTAATCGCCATTGTAATAAAGATTATACAAAGTTCACTACACACAAACTATTAAAAATCGCTAAAATTGTCGCTGGTGACCAAATGATGACTCATTGTTTGCCATCAAAAGAATGGCCTCTAAGGTCACACATGTCCTTATATTCTTTAGTCATTGTACAAGGCAAACCAAACTAAGTAATCGCTTATCAGAAAGAAAAGCTTATAGACTGGACTAACCAACACATGATTGAAATACTATTGAAATACATACTTTTGTAACTTTCTGTGTTTGCTGTGAGTCGAAATGCGACTCACAAACGATTAGGAGATATTTTAAGATCTATTAACATTGAGCTAATTTGTTTAAGATCATCTTTAGGACTACAGATGAAATAACTGGAACGAACCGTTTTCGAAAATTTTTGCAAAGGACAAAAGTGCTAGGCTCGTCACAATAAAGCAACAGAAAAAGTTACAAAGGTACTTAAATAATATCGGTCATATGTGATTGAGCTCGCACCCTATTATTTTTTTAACTTACCTGGGCTATACAGGCCTGGACTAAGTTAGGGGGAAATACATTTCTGTAACAAAAGAGAATATTATAAATAAATCTTATGGTGCGTTTAGACTTGAGCACGCACGCACTGATCCTCCGCGAATGCTCAAGCGTAAACGGCTGTGCGCGCACGCTCACTCTGAATCTGTCTGTGCGCGAGCAGCCGCGAACGTGAGCCGTCTGGTGTCGGTTTTCGGTCCGTGCTCAAAGGGATTTTATTTGTGCGCGAACGCTCAGTTTGCACCGGCAATTTGTTTTGTCTGCGTTCGTGCGTGCGTGTGTGATTTTTTTTCGTTCTATTTATTAAAATTATGGAGTGGAACAATGAATCATCGTTATTATTAATTAAAGAATATGAAAAGTTGCCTATATTATGGGATGTTAAACATTCTTTGTATCAGGGGCGGCTTGTCCTATGAGGCAGATGAGGCAGTGCCTCACCAATATTTGAAAAATTACACTTATTAATCGATACATCTTTAATCACAATTATATATTTTTTTCCCTATTTGCATTAATAATAATTGTATTTTTTAACCGTCATTCTACAATAAATTACGTCGATGGTATTCCTTTAAACGCAAGAAGCGCGTCCCATATGCGACAAACTCGACGATGTATATCCTTTGTATATCCATCTCATTTGTTCTTTAAAAGGTATATGTGCAGAGGTTTGCCTCTCGCCTTTCCTTGTCTAGCGTATTGTGGTATATCGCACTGACGGAGCGACAGCGTTCACTGGAATCTTAACTCTGTAGAATGAAAAGAAAAAGCATAGGCAAAACCTTTACTTGAAGAGAGATAAAATGTATGGAGTAGTAGCGCGTAAAAAGACCGTATTGAGGCGGACCTCAAATGTAAATTTGAACCTTAAAAGCCGTTCGTTAAAAATATGTATCACTTCCCGATCAGTTCCCGATCAGCCCGAGAGATTTTAGGCGACAGGCTGAAAATGCAGAATTGCATTATTTGGGAATTTGGCTTAGTTTGAATCAGAGTTTTAATTAATTCTGCAGGTTATTACACTGTTTTGTCTATGTTTTTTTACAATATTTGTTATTTAAAAAACGGTTAGTCTTTCAGGAAAACGCTTGGACACGTATAATTTATTTTGTTTTTTACATATTTTTAAATTTTTTAAAAAATCATACAGGGTGTTCCAAAAAGTTGGGTAATTGATTAACCACGATTCTGCTCCAGTTTGTATGTTAGTGGAAATTCTTGCTTTGCTTTATCATATCACCATTACAAATGATTAATTCGACGCGAACGAAGTCGCGGGTACATGCTAGTTTTTATATAATTTTCATTAATTATTAATTCATGAAAACCGAAGCAGTATCTGCTGGCGGAGGGAATGAATATGTTACTAGTGATTTTAATTTGTGAGGACAGTTGCTTGGGGTTGGCCTGAAGGGTTTATGCTTAAAGATATCCAAATAGGAATTTTCTTCACAAGCGTTCACTTTTCTTATTTCGCAGAACCTATTAGGCAGAAACATGTCGTTGGAAGTGAAGAAAATAAATTTGCCTTGCTTAATTGATTCTTTTATAGAAAATCCAATATATCTACAAGTCATCGTAATATAAATCAAAGAACAACTCCTTTATTTACTAGTTGAACCAGAATTTTCTTCAATATAACAAAGTTTTAAAATGTATATCCTTGAAATTTTATCGTGAACGAAATATAGCTGGGAAAATAACACTTGCGTCATTAACCAAGATTATAATTTGTCAAACCACAAAATGATTTCAACAAAAATAATGTTGCAATATCCTTTCAATTTACAATATGACTGAGAAGTAAAAAATGCTGCCATTGTAAAAATTGAGACCAATTTTTATCCAAATATCGACATTAGTTCAAAAATTATTTGGAAAAAAACTAAATAAAAATGAAACTTCAAAAAAAAATCTAAAATGTCGGAAAACTGTAATAGTCCAGTAAATATGGACACGAAAAGACACAAGGCTCGGTGTAATTCGTCGACCTTGACTTTTGAGGCGCGTTGTGTACCTTTTGGGGAGTAGTTTTAAGGGAAAAACACCGTGTTCGGCCAGCTTTGGCCGAAAAAATTGGCCCACATGGCCCAAAAAACAGTTTTTCGCAAATATCTGGCAAAATATTCAATTTACAATTTTTATTTCAATATTCAATTTACAATTAGTTCACAGAAAATTTCAATGATTAGAATATTCTAATCATTGAAATTTTGATTGAAATCGAATTATACAGGATGGCACGTCATATACGACGCGGTTTTGGTAGCAAGGAAAACAGTTTGTATTGAAGTGAAATTTTGTGAGCTTATGTAAGTTAATTTGGAGCAGTTTCTAAAATGATATAGAGTTCTACAGGGTGTCCCCAAAAAAATTACGCATCAAAGTTAGGATCTAATCTATAAAAATATTTTTGAAATGTGAACTACCATTAAACACATATTTTGTAAAAGGTTTGGAGTGAAAATCTCAAATAGGAATCATGATACAGAGCTTTTTCGGAACACGGAATCATCTTGTATGTATGCATTAATTTGTAGATGTATGTTTATTTAAATACTAAAGTAAAAGCAACGAATTTAAATGGGTAAACTTTGTAATATATCTTATTAACAAAACAATGCAAAAAGTTTTATATAAAATTAGTTTACAGTAAATGAATTCCGAGGTTTGTATCCAATAAGGAAAAATTATCATCAAAATTATCATTCCGGAAATCCCAAAAAAAGCGGAAAAGCCACTCACAAATAGTTTTTTTTATTAAAATGTGATTAAACAAATACTTCAAACTTTCTGAGTTGCTTAAAGAGACTAAGAACTGTTAGAAAAAAATCTTGAGAAATAAACTATTATTAGTGAAAATATGAATAAGTTGGTAAAAATCTGTAAATTTTTGGACTAAGAAATGTTTGCCCATTTTTTTTATAATCATAAAATACAGGGTTATTCACCACATACGACACGTATAGAGTATTGTCACAAATTACCTATAACAGATGCGAAAGAAAGCGACTGCATCGGAAACCGCTCGGCAAACCCGACACGCCTATTGAGTGGTGTAAATACACCAGTCGTTTAGTCCGGAAACCTATGCTGTGTCGTATTCGCTTGCTGGAATGACATAGTGCGTGGTTATATGTTTCTTTTTAAAAACGTGTAAATTTTTGTTGAACTTTTGAACTGTTATTTCTAAGTTTTGGTAATTTGTATATCTTATTTAAAATGGGATGCAAATGTGTTTATTTATAAGGAAAAAAAAGATATTTATAGTATAAAAAATTAATTTATTTAACAAAATTTAATTAAAAATGTTACAAAATAGTTACCTTTCTATTGGTTCTATCGGACTTTTTTCGACTATATAAATCTTTATTTGTAAACTTTAATACATCAAATATTTTCAATCTAATTAATCATTTAATGATGTAAATAAGAGGAAATTTCTCACATGGGTGGTCAAATTTTATAGTTTTCATTATATCAAACAGCCTCTGAGAAATGTTTTCAACTCAAAATGCCTTTAATTATGTTTGACTACATCATTAAAAAGGGTGTTCAAATACATCAATGTGATATTTGTCTAAAATTTGCAAAAAAATCCGAATCTCTGGATAACTCGAAATTATTTACCCATTTAAAAGCCTTTGATCATGAAAGTGGAAAAATTTGTTCATTTTATTTACAGGCTGGAAAAATTATTTAAATTAAATTTTGATGAGTTTTGCACTGAAGAAAACGTTCAGAGGCTGTTTGATATAATGAAAACTATAGAATTTGACCACCCATGTGAGAAATTTCCTCTTATTTACATCATTAAATTATTTATTAGATTGAAAATATTTTATTCATTAAAGTTTACAAAAAATAAAGATTTATATAGTTGAAAAAAGTCCGATAGAACCAATAGAAATGTAACTATTTTGTCACATCTTTAATTAAATTTTGTTAAATAAATTAATTTTTTATACTATAAATATCTTTTTTTTCCTAATCACCTACGAGCTGATATAATATGACGAACAATCTATTAAATTACTGCGAGATTATACAGAAAAGTCCACAGACTTCGAGACATAGGAAAATCAAGTCCATTTAGCGTGTGTCCAAATTTTGACAAGTTTTCAAAAATGACAGTTTTGTTTAGACTGACGTTTAATTTCACCTGACTTCTCGGTGAATGATTTTTTTTATGGGGGTACATAAAATCTAAAATTTACGGCCATGAAGAAATTCAAAACTTGGAGCAGTTAAGGCAGAAAATATTTAATGCCTTTGACACTGTCACCCCTGATATGTTATCCAATGTGAGGAGGGGATTTTATGATCGTTTGGGTTATTGTTTAATGCAAGAGGGAGGCACTTTTGAACAATTTTTGTAATTTTTTAAATTTCATTATCCTGTTTTTTTACCGTTTACCCATTACCTACCTTGACGAACATGGGAAAACGAAGGTCCTTTTCAGGACCACAAATATTTTGATTGAGAAAATTGGTAACTTTTTTTTGGATTAAAAAACAAAAGTTGTTAATATAATACCAATTTAAAAGTGTTTTAGTAGTTTTAATACACACTATGATATAAAATTTATTATTATTATAATGTACATTATTAATACTATTGTTCATTCGAAATGGCATTAAGGCCCAATTGCAACAATGATTTAAATTTTTCTTAAAGATAAGTAGAGCTTAGAATGAGCTGTATTTATATTTACTTTATATTCACCTTAAATGAGGGAATTTGACTGATACAATTTTTGAATTTGAATTGTTTTTAATGATATTAACAATTTTAGTTCAATTTTTAATAAAATTTATTTAATATTAATAGAAATCCAAGGGATTTGAAACCTCTTTTAGCGATTTATAACATTCTCAAATGAATTACAGGTGCCCTTATTTTGAATGAAAATCACACAGCTTTTTTCATAGTCGCTGCAGTTGCTATAGCTATAAAAAACTAATTTTTTAAGGTGTGAAAATTGCGACACACGCTAAATAGACTTGATTTTTCGTATGTCT